GCTGAACTCGTCTCAAGCTCGTTTCCCCCCTCATTCTCCTCATGTTCCTTTACCTTCTGACTCGACACCTCCCACCCACTTCTGGTCTCACCATCCCGTCACTTCCGTTCCGAGTGTCCACCCTATGTTTCTCCATTCTCACGCGTTTTGTCCACCTCCTGCTCTTGTTCTACCGTCGCCTCCTCATTCGTCTTTTTCTCTCCTTTCTTTCTTGTTCTCTTGCCCTCTTGTTCCTCCTGTCCTAGCCTCTCTCATTACCAACCTATTCGTTCCTGGCTCCAGTCTCTCGGCTCTTGTCGCTAGCATCGCTGACTTTGCCTCTACTCGCCGCCTTGACTACGCACCTGCATTGGTCTTCGATCCTGCCCATCCTCTGTCCGTAGGGGGTGCACCTTCCCTTGGCAGTGACGTCATAGAGGACATGCAGCATGAGGTAACTTTCCTTGCGGAGGCCGCTCCTCGTCTCTGCTCTATGCTGCTAGCCCCCGAGGGTGACCCATACGCTCTTGACAACCCAAACCCTCACACCTAAGCTGAAACGGCTACGGGACCCTGGGCCTCTCAGGGGATAGCTGCCATGGACACAGAGCTGGCATCTTGGAGATCCACTCGCACGTACGTCGACGCAGCTCCCCCACCTAAGGCGAACGTAGTCGATGGTCGGTGGCTCTTCAAGGTGAAGCGCCTGCCTGGAGAGTCGCCGGTGTTCAAGGCGCGCTACGTTGCTAGAGGCTTCATCCAGCATGAGGGGGTGGACTTCTCGTAGACCTTCGTCCCTACCCCGAAGATGACCACACTTTGGCAGCTGCTTTATGTAGCAGCACAGCGTGGCTATGAGCTCCACTCATTTGGCTTCTCCACATCGTTTCTCCAGGGCAGTCTGCACGAGCAGATCTACCTGCGCCGTCCGCCAGGCTTTACCGGCTCTTTCCTCCTGGGACCGAGTGGTTCCTCCAACGCTTGGTCTGCGGTTTGTGGCAAATCTTTTGTAAGTGGCACGACACGCTGTGTGCTATACTAGCACACCTCCAGTTCTTTCTGTCCTCTGCTAACCTGTCTCTCTTTGTTTGCTTTGGCCGGACTCCGCTCTACATCCTAGTATTCTCTACTCCAAACAGAGAAGCACTCGCCTCGGTGAAGGCCAAGCTACTAAGGAGACACACCCGCATTGACCTAGGAGAGTTGCGTTGCTACCTGGGGCTGCAGATCTCCAAGGACAGAGCAGCGCGCACCATTACTCTCTCACAGTCACACTCGGTGCGCCAAGTCCTTCAGAGGTTCGGCCTTCAGTTCTCCTCCACACAACCCACTTGCTCTTCCTGTCAATCACAAGCTCTCGGCTCAAGTCCCTGACGAGCCGGTCGAGCCTAGTGGTCAGTACATAGAGCTCATGGGCTGCCTCATGTACCTGATGACTTGCATTCGTCCATATTCGCACACTTTGTTGCGACAGGCAGACACCAACCTCATTACTGGTCGGCTGCCAAGAGGTTGTTACATATTTGGTGAGTATATTGGGCATGGGGCTAGTGTTGGGAGGATGCGGTCCAGAAGTCACAAGACACACAGACACCTTGTGGGTTGACGAGGCTGAGAAATTCACCATAATCATGGACGAATAATTATCATGAAATCATACATACAGTCACGGAAAAAATTGTCCACATGTTCGGTCTTTTTTTGCATTTTGATGAGTGCAGCGGCGTAAACATTAAGCCTTAATTTATGGGGTACATACACGTGGAGAAGATAATTTAGAGCACTCATTCAAGTCGACAAACACCAGAGTAGTATAATACACGGTCCTTCAACACCTAAACATATCATAAGAGCACATCCGGGCAATTTGTACCGAGGACAGGCAACAAACTAGATTCTTGAAAAACTAGTACCTAGTCCAGCGTCCCTTTGTGCGAATCACTACCTTGATCCTCCTCGGCATACTGTCGATGAGGCTTAAACACACCTCCGCCGGTATCTTGTCCCATTCCTCCTGCACCCTCTCCCACGGCTCCAGCATTCCACTAGGTGTTTTTTCGCACGTCGCCAGCTGCCTTTTCAAGTGTGCCCACAGGTGCTTTATCGGGTTAAGGTCCGGGGAGGACGAGGGCCATTCCAGCACCGCATACTCCTACTCCCCAAGCCAGTCTTGGACCAGACGGGACCTGTGCTTGGGATCATTGTCGTGCTGGAAAATGACCTCTGAGGGGGGGAGCTTGAAAAATTTGATGGTATGTTTGAGCTCATCTTGCAAGATGCTGCGATACAGCGGCCCATCCATCCTGACATCTATCTTGCACATGAACCCCGCCCCCTCATACGTCATGCAACCCCACACCATCGCAGAACCGCCCCCATGCTTAACCGTCTATTGGACTTGATGGCTCTGGAGGCAGGTGCCCTTGCGAATCCAGGCGTACGCACGTCCGTCGGAGCAATAACGGTTTATCTTAGTCTCATCAGACCAAATCACCCACTTCCAGTCCTCCAGCGTCCAGTCGGCATGCGACCTCGCGAAATCGAGACGATCACGTATGTTTTTTGGTGAGAGCCTGGGTTTCTTGGGCTGTTGCACGGCGATCAAGCCCGCAGATCGTAACGAGTTCCTGACCGTCTTCGAGTCTACAGCCAGACCGTGCTTCTCCTGCTACATCTTTGCGGCGTCTACACTGCTTTTTGCCTCACCACTTGTAATCGCTCGAACTATTCCGCGCTGAAGTCGGGTTGTGATTAAGCGGGGGCGGCCGGCCGTGGGCATCGTGGGTCACACCTCATCGCGACTAGTCTCAGCAATCACCTTCAACTCGTAATCGTGCACGGTGCTCATGCCTATGCCAAGAACTTTGGCTATTTTCCTAGTCGAATGCCCTGTGCGCAACATGATTATGATTCGCGCGTGCTTCTTGTCATCTACCGGCTTCATGGCGATGCGGTCGCAGGTTCGCTTCAGACGAGCAGCTGTTGCGCGTGACGATGTGCACACCGAGTGACGGGCGAAAATAGATCTGGTCTGTCGCTCGGTATGAACAGTCCACATCGAAAGGCGAGGAGTAAATCTCAATCCCGCTTTCCGGTTGTGTCACAATCGCGCCAATCAAGAAACGGTTGAAGCAGAACTCGATAACCTTGTAACGGGACGGGAAAAAAATGGTGTTACTATTTTCGAAACAAATGTTGCATAGCGATATGTTTCAAAGTGCTAAACATCCGGGCAATTTTTCCGTCACTGTATGGAGGGAGGGAACAAGAAGGTACTTATGGATGCTCAGGTCCTCTCAGGGCTATTGCTTTAGCCTTGGTGTAGGCGTTATCTCGTGGACGTCCACCCGCTCATCGTCTGTTGTACAGTCCAGTTGCGAGACTGAGATCTACGTTGGTGCCATGGCGGTACTGTCAACATATTTAGATGTTGTTATAGGCTAGATAGGTAATTTTTTTTAGAGAGTACAACATCATAGCTCAAATCCTGCCTGTATGCCACATTCTAGTCATTGCGTTATTCTGAGATGGTATCACGCTAGGTTAGGTCCCCCCTCCCCGCTTACGCTTCTGCCCCTAGCCCTAGCCCTAGCTCTAGCCCATGTCCAAGCTGTGCCCTATCCCTAGCTGCGCCCGCGCCCTAGCCCTAGCCGTGTTGCGACGTGCCCGAGACGTCCCCGAGCCGCACCCGTGCCCTAGCTGTAGCCATGCCCAAGCCGCGCCTGCGCTGTCTGCACCGTCCGCGCCGCTCGCGTCGTCCGCACTGTCCGAGCCTGAGCACGCGCAGTCCGCACCGTCCACGCCATGCTCGCGCCATCCACGCCATCTGCGCCGTGCCCGCGCCGTCCACGGCAAACACGCCGTCCTCGCCGTCCATGCACGCACCGGCCCCGCCAGACGCGTCGGCCCCAACACTCCGCGCCGGCCTTGCCACTTTGCGCCGGCCCCGCCACTTTGTGCCGACCTCGCCACTTTGAGCTGGCCCCTGCTGCCTCGCCGCGCCGCCAAGCCGCCGAACCGCCGAACCGCTGAGCCGCCGAACCGCCGAACTGCTGAGCCGCTGAGCCACCGAGTAGCCGCGCCGTCGAGCCACTGAGTCGCCGAGCCGTTGTGTTGCTTTGCCGCCCCAACCCGCCGGCCCTGGTTCCCTACTCTATGCCGGCGTTTCCGCCAGCCATCTTCACCAGTGCTCTCCATCGCTCCCCAACGCTCTCTCCTCCTCCTCCCTTCATGGCGGTCCGCTGCTGCAGCTGTGGCAATGGCGGACGCTGTGCTTCGCCTGGACGTGGAGGGTTGCGTGATCGACTTTGAGGCATAGCTCGCCGACCTCTGCCGCTCGTAGAGGGGACAGCGCCAGGATGGCCAGTCTCTGGCCGTCAACGTTGACGGTAAGATCCCTTGCCCCGAACCCCTTGCTGCCCTCTCAGACGCCCCCACGCACGCTGAGTGTGAGGCCTTTGCAGTTGCTGAGCTCGCCCGCCCTGTTTGGGAGTCGCGTGACGTAGTCGCGCAGCTTGCTATCAGTCGTGCCCTCCCCCTGTTTGAGCTCCCCTGTTACCAGGCCCTAGAGACTGCGCAAAAGTACTTAGACGATCTCATTGCGCGCTATTCCACTCCCTCCTCCACCTTTGCTGGCCGTCTTCTTATCCCCTTGCTCCTCCCTGACCTTGCGTGCGCTAGAGGTCAGCTATTGCACTGCTAACAATGAGGCTAAGCTCCTTGAACTGCCTCCCCCCCTTAACACTACACTCTACTTCCTTGCCACACACCTTCCTGACCGCCTAGCCACTGCCCGCGACCACCTCATTCGCCTCCACCCCGCTGACCTCACCCTCGCTGACTTTGTCACTACCCTGTCTGCAATAGAGTTCCGCTAGCGCACAATCGCCCAGTCGAGCGGTAGAGCGGCGGTCCCTATCTTCGAGGGCTGTGCTCCCTCCCATTGCACTTACTCCGACGTCTCTGCCGCTGTTGTTGAGACGGCCTCTACTGCTGAGACCGCTGCGGCGGCCTCAGCGCAGTCTCCTCAGGGTAGGGGATGCCAGGCGCGAGGGGGGCGTGGTAGCGGGAGGGGTGGCGGGGGTGGTGGGGGTGGCAATGGTGGCGGAGGTGGTGGAGGGGATGGTGGTGCAGACGAGGGGACTAGGGCTGGTGCCCTGGCACAACAGCAGGAGCAGCAGGAGCAGCAGTCGCAGCAGCAGCAGCATGAGCAGCAGCAATAGCAGTCGCAACAGCAGCAGCAGCAGCCATGGGGACCCACTCTGACGTAGTGGTCTGGAGGCTTTCGTGGTCGTGGTCGTGGTGGTAGGCCGCGCAGCTCGGTGTCGGGTGGTGGCTCCAGTGTGGTCACATGCCAGTCCCAGCTTCAATCCGATCCCCGCCGCGACCCCGTCTGTGACCGTCCCGGTCACACCATAGCTCGCTGCTACTGCCGCCTCGAGGACCTCTTCCGTCTGCGGTTCGGCCCTAAGTCGGATCCCCCCAAATAGCACAGCCTGGTACTGTACGTCGCTGTATGCTGGTCTTTGAGATGGATATGGATCAGATTTTCTCTGCTATGTATGCCATGTATGCTGACGACTCTAGTGTGACTGGACCTTATTACCCTGTGTTGCCTAGTATAGGTGTGCCACCTCTGTGTAGTATTAGCTCCCTTGCTACGTCAGGCTTAGGACCTTCTGCTATATTTAGCCTAGGCTCCACGCTAGCCCCTCTGCCAGCTGCCGCTACCACTTCGCTCTCCTTCAACTTGACTCTGGAGCGTCTGCCTGCTTCTTCCGTGACCACACTGCGCTCACGTCACTTGCCGCCCCTACCGCTATCGTGCTTGCTGATCCCTCCTCAGGTCCGGTAGTTGCCCGTAGCTCCACCACCCTTCTCTGTCCGCCGGTTCCCTCGGGCCTGCACATCCCCTTGTTTCCAGGAACCTAGTTGGTGTCGTCTGACTTCAGGACCTCGGCGTCACCACTGCATTCCTCTGACACAAGGGTATGTGGTATGTACCAAGGTTGCCAATGGTGCCCCTTTCCCCGAGACCTGGTGTCCGGCCTATTTACGCTTGACACCGCATCCCCCCCGGTAAGGGCGTCCCCCCAGCTGCCTGCATCTACCCAGGTCACTGCAGCTTGCTCGTGTCGGTCGCTCACTCACTCGTCGCTTCTGTGGCACCACTGCCTAGGTCAACCCGCACCTTCTGCGTGATATATTAGCATGCTATATCTAGCGTAATCCTGCCGCAATCCCTTAAAGCCAATAGCCTCGCGTGGCTATACGCAGAGGGATTCTATGTCTAGAAGGGTCTATTCCCTTTGGATAAGATAAACCTCGTTACCTGTTGTACCTTGGAAGTATATAAGCGCCTTGTATCAATCGATAGTGCAAATTTTCCTCGACCCATTCGATTCTGTGACACTTGGTAATCAGAGCTTTTCTCTACCGGCCGCGCTCAGCTAAGCAGCAGCAGCGGGAAAACCTGGCTTGAAAAACCGTCGGGGGCCACTAATTCGGCGCCAATTCTAGAAAGCACTAGCTCTGCGCTTTTTGAATTAACACCTCCGCGCGTGTTTTGAACAGGATGGCGAACTTCGACAACGCCGAGATTACCCAGCAGCCCTTCGCACGCATCGCCACCCTACAGGAGGAGATGTGAGCCGACCGCGAAGCTTGGCGAAACGAGTTCGAGCAAGTAACTCGACTCGCTGGCGCGTAGCACGAAACAACAACGGCAACGACGCAGCAGTCGAAGTAGTTTCTCAAGGCTCCGAAGCAGCGCCCACCTGAGCCGTTCGATCTGAGCGATCGAAATTCCAACGTCCGCAGATGGATCGCCGACATAGAGATCTACTTCGCAGCCGTCGCATGGAGCTCGCCAGTCTGGGACGGTCAACGGGAGTGACTCGCGGCGATACATATGCGAGGGCCGGCATTCGAGTGGATCGGCGGCAACAGTACCTTCATCCACGGCGAAGCCACGTGGGATCAGTTCCACACCGATCTGCTGAAATGTTTCGAGCCGATAAATTCCAATTTCGTACCGGGAAAAAATCACCGCCATCGACAGTTCGGAAGTGTAGCACAGTACATGCAGCAAATGGAAGATTTTTATAATCGCATTCCCGATCAGACCGAAGGGGATAAAGTACAATCGTATCTTGTCAGGCTGACGACCGAAGTCAAATGACAGGTAGCAACGACAAATTACGCGAGCTACGGTGACATCATTTCAGCAGTGGAGCGCTTTGAGGTGGTCAACACCGGAAAACGACGTGCACACGTCAGCAGTACACGACAAGGCGACCGCTCGGCTCACCCTGCGTTCGCCGACCCTATGGAAATCGACAAGTTCGACGGGCGGCCACGTCCGAAAAATACCAACTTTACGTGTGATTTTTGCGGGGTGCCGAGCCATCAATCTTCGACTACAACAAAATAAAATTCGCGCATGCAGAGTATTGTGCATGCAATAGTGGCGAAAATCCTTCAGCCAATCAGAAGATAAAAAACGGGAATCGCCAGTAATTGCGGATCTAGCTGGCGAAAAAGAAAGGATCCAAAAGCGCTCGTGGGATTCCAGAAAAATCAACTTAAATGAAGCTGATTCGACGTGAGCAGGAGGAAATGATGGAGGAAAATCTCCACCTCACGACCAGTCTTCGCCATGGAAAATCATCGAGAAAACATCTGACTCCGCGACAAAAGACTCTGCCGAGACAGGGAAACTCCTAGAAGACCCAAGAAATTATAAGGATTCCTTAAAGTTATCCTGTAAAGATGCTTTAATGAAAACTTATGATTCTCAAGGGGCTAGAGCCTTGGAGAAATTTCGGAAGGGACTCCAGAAGAAGCAGACCGTACGGAAAACTTGGGGAAAAAATTAAGGAGTGTGGAAAGAAGCCGACCTTTCCACGGAGTCAGTGTCCTCTCCCGACACCAGCCCACAACGACCACCCGTTCTCCAGGGAAAACGTCGGTGGAGTTGTAGCAGCTCAAGAGGAAGCTGGGGGTCTACAAGAAGTTGCAAATGCAACGAGCTCCTCCTTCAGATGCATCTAGCTCAGCAACTTCCCTCCCTCTTGTTCCCTCCCTCCTTATAAACTGATGGACAAACCAAGTCTCAACCAACTGTAGAGCAACACCTCCGCACAACATACAAGGACGAAATCTCTAAGTGGGACTTGCATCTACCCATCCTGGAGTTTGCCTACAACAACGCCACTCACGCCGCTACTGGACAGATGCCGTTCTTCCTCTGTTACGGACGCAACCCGCTCACAACACAGAAACCAACTGCCACAGTCCAACCTGCGAACGACTTCATCACAACCATGCATCAGCTTTGGGAACGGACCCACAAGTGCCTCCTCGACATTCAGCAGCAACAGAAGTGCCAGGCCAATCGCCACTGCACCAACCACACCATCACCGTGGGAGAACGAGTTCTACTCGACACCTGCAATCTCAACATCAGTCATCTCCCATCCAAACAGCATCCTCGTTTCTACGGGCCCTTTCTCGTTGATGCATGGGTCACTCCTGTTACCTTCTGCTTACGCCTACTTGCTATCTGAAGATTCACAACGCCTTCCATGTCCAAGTTGTGAAGCCCTACAGAGATCCTAACACAATCTTCACCGGACACCAACCGCCGCCTACGCCGCCCGTCCTCGTCCATGATGAACCCGAGTACGAGGTCGAGTCCGTGCTTGCACACCGCAGTCATCGGAATGGCACTGTGGAGCTTCTCAATCATTGGAAGGAATATGATCCTTTTGAGGATAGCTGGGTCCCTGAATCTGAGATGGGTAACGGTTGTCGTCCTCTTCGCGACTACCCTGTCAAGCTTTAAGGGGGGAAGTGTGAGAGTAAGACCCCGATACACTTGTTTCTCATTGCCATCTTTCTCATCCATCACATTCTCCTTTTCCTCCTGATTCATTTGGTCTTTCTCTCATCTCATTTGGATTCCTATTCCTCATTTTCCATTATCCTTTGGTTTATCCTCTTATTATAATTATATCACCGACTAGGTTTGGAATGTACTGGCGCGCTATATCTAGCGTAATCCTGCCGTAATCCCTTGAAGCCAATAGCCTCCTGTGTCTATCCCCAGCACCCTTCCCTCCCCCACGCCCCCCCTTGGGGCGACGGGGGCCTCTACCCTAACAAGGCTGCATTGAGGCCACCGCAGTGGTCTCAGTGATAGTTGATGTCTCAGCGACAGCGGCGGAAGCGTCAGAGGCGGAAGCGTCAGAGTAAGTGCACTGGTAGGGAGCACAGCCTTGGAAGATAGGGACTGCCGCAGTATCGCTAGACTGAGTGATAGAGCGCTGGCAGGTCCCTATCGCCGACAGGGTGGCGACAAAGTCGTCAAGGGTGGGATCAGCGGGGTGTAGATTAAGGTATCACGAGCGGTGGCTAGGCGGTCAAGGAGGCGCGTGGCAAGGAAATAAAGAGTGGCGCTGATGGGAGGGGGAGTACAGTGCCAAAAGTGCAGTAGCTAGACTCGAGAGCACGCAGGTGGTTGGCCAGATCAGCGACAATGGGAAATGAAGCTAGGTCAGGGAAGAGCAAGGGCAGGAGGAGACAGCCCGTAGAGGCGAATGAGGGAGTGGAATATCGAGAGATAACAGCGTCTAGATACTCCTTTGCAGTCTCTATGGCCTAAAAGTGGGGACGCTCGGACAGCGGGAGGGTGACTAATAGCGAGCTGCGCAATGGCGTCATGACACTCTCAGACAGAGCGAGCGAGCTCAGCAGCTTCGAAAGCCTCACGCTCAGTGGACGTGGCAACGGCAGCGAGGGCAGCAGGCGTGGGAGGGCAAGGCAGCTGACCGTCGATGTAGGTCGGCGAGCCATGCCTCGCAATCCACCGCGCGCCCCTCAGTATGCAAGCGGAGGATGGTGTCCGCCATTGCGCGCGCGTGTCAGCGGAGGCGGTCGCGTCTCCTAGCAGCGGCGGCGGGACAGCACAACTGAGGCAGTTGAAGGACACAAGAGGAGGAGCCGAGAGCAAGCGGGTGCTGTGGAGTATGGTTGAGTACGGTGGAGTGCGGTGGACTACAGTATAGTGCGGTGGAGTGCGGTAGCATGCACGGCCGGCGAGGACGCCGGCTGAGTAGAGGAACCAAGACCGAGGGGGAGTGCACGGTGCACGGCCAGGCGACGAGCTAAGGCAGGCGGTGAGCAGAAGCCAGGCGTGGCGTCAAGCAGGGGCCGGCGCGACGGTGAGCAGTGCTGGCCCGGCT